GTATCAATATAATGTATAAGCTAATATCGAAATATATATACATATCATATGAATGTCAAAAAAAAAATCAAAAAATAATTCAAAAAAGAGAAATGTGAATTTTGTACAAAATATAATAGAATAACATTTACAAATCGAATTATAAAAATATACAGTATCAATTAATTAATTTATACATTTAATGTTGTTTGTTTCTGCAAAGCGGATGTTTCTTTCCATTGTATTTGAGTGTGTTCCTGGATCTGCACCTCCTGTTTGCCAGCCATTTTCTTACTTGCTTCTCCTCCAGCTGACATTGATTCGTCAAGTTTTTGAGGTCATCCTCAGTAACGTATGGATCATCAACGTGCCTCGCATACCAATCTTCAAGGATGCTCACAATCTCCGTCCTGAATATGTTTTTGGTTGTTAGAATCGTTGGCGGACTGGAAAGTGAACTATCGTTGTTGTTAGTATACAAATTGGAATCAGTCTGTGGTTGTTTAAATGCTGGAGTGCTGGTTATTATGGGATTGAAAGATATTGCATCATCACAATACATTTCAAATCTTGCACTGGGTTGTGGAAACGGAAAATTAGAATTATCTACATATGCATTGATTTGTTGTGTCCAACTCAAAAATGAGTCCTCCCCACTATTCATTTCTGTGCGGATTTTTTTGAATGGCGTGTTGGGATCGGCTGCGGCTGATGGGAGTTCTTCGTTATCTTCCCAGGGTCGTTTCAACACAAATTTGGGTTTCAAGGGAAATTCATCAACGGAATGTGGAATGTTGGGACAGAGATTATTTATTTTGAACATTTTGTTGTTCATCGAACTTTCCACAGATTCATTTGTTTTCCACAAGTGAGTTGAACTTCTGTGAACATCAACGGCGTACGATGATGTTGTGTAGTAGCCACTTTCTGTCTGTCCTCTTTTTACTGATGAAATATCATCCGTTGATTCGTCTTTTTGTCTACTATTGTTCAATGAAATATTATTTTGAGAAACATTTTTTGTCACCTCATTGTCACCTGAACGTTCATCCATCTTTGATCCCAAAGGAGTATCGTTTCTTATACTGTCCATTGAATTAGTTCACACAGTAATTGTTTTCTTATTAGCTCTTATTATTTCTTATTATTTAGAACTGAAATATTTTTCAACTTACGTATGCCCTTGTAAATATTTTTGTGGCTAGATTTGATTCGTATTTGCTGGATTAAAATTTTCTCTTGTGAATGTGATGGGACTTTTTAGTTATGCTCATTAGAATGTTTGGTGCTCTGTATTTATAGGCAGAAATGTGGTGAAGCAATTAAAATGATTACGTACAAGACAAGAGCGGATCCACTTTCAATTAACTGTCCCAATTAAAGTTGATGTCAATTGAATAATTGAGTGGCACTCTATAAAGTGAATTCCTTATTTATTGGCCATGTAATTATTCAATTAAACAAGTTGTTGAGTATTGCTCAGTTTCTTTATTTCATTTTAGAAATCACTTTTTTGTCTTTGAAGTATTTCGTTGAAATTATTTTTAAGATTATGCTTTGAACCGCTAATTATGAATCACTTCGACTAATACATATTTTACAAATCTGATATATCATCATAATTTTTGAAACATCACTCAAGACGAGCGGATCGGATCCTCTCACAATCAACTGTCCCAATTAAAGTTGATTTCAATTGAATAATTGAGTGGCACTCTATAAAGTGAATTCCTACTACTTTAGTTCAGTAATTATTCAATTAAACAAGCTGTTGGGTATTGCTCAGTTTCTTTTTTTAAACAATAAATCAATAATGTCCAAAAAATTTATGCTAAAAATTTTTAGGATTACACTTTCAATTGCTGTTTATAAATATGTTCAGCTAATAATGATTTCAAAAATAATATACGTTGAATCAATATATGTGCTTGTTAAATTTATTTTTTATGCTTATGAAGTTTTTGATTTATAAAAATCTGAAATCGAGGTTAAAGTTTTTTTAACTTTAAAGGATCACAATACTCATCATTTCAAATGACACCTCAGAAGCCCATATATAGTTCTCAACATTAATTTTTGTTAAATTGCTTTTAATTTTATTTGGTTTTGTAATTTACTTGCTTCAATAATGATTTTTGTAGAATTTGCACTTATCTAATTAATGTTTGCAAAGAGGACGCATCGATCAAAGAACTCATTTTCTGTTAAAACTTCAATCGTTCATATTTCTGTTTTATCTTTTCATTCTTCAATATTGAAGAGTATTCATTAAGGCTTTGGTAGAATAAATTCTTAAATTGAAAATTGTTTTTTTTTAGATTGATGTCAAACTTGAAAAAAAAATTCATTTAATTTCATTGCCACAAAATAATTGTTTAATAAATCAATAATCGATTCATGCAGCTGAAAGTTTCAAAAGATGGGCACGTGTCACTTTCAAACATTAAATTTGTCACGAATTCTTTCTTATTTTAAGGCTCTAATTAATTAAAATTAAAAGTTTGGTGATCGTCACATCCCCCCAACCCACGCGAGGCTGGTGGTTCTGCGTGGAAGGTCTGCATTCTTGGATTAACTCTCTCCACATCTGGACAACGTGTCAGCGACAACATTTTCTTTCCCTAACACATGTTGCACCCTATAATTGAAGTCCTGCAGCAACATCGCCTATCTGGTGATCCTTTGATTGGACATCTTGTTGCTGTGGATCATCTTAAGCGGTGCATGATCTGACAGTACCACGAATTCGTGTCCCATTAAGTAGATTGAGAACTTCGTTACGGTGTAGACAATAGCTAATGCTTCCTTTTCTATCGTTGAAAAGTTCTGTTCAGTCAATGACAATTTTCTACTGAGGAAGCACACGGGCTTCAAGATGTCGTCAACTTTCTGTAACAATGCACCACCTACTGAATAAGCTGATGCATCGCATACTACGAAAAATGTTTTGTTGATATCCGGTATCTGTAGTATTATCTTGTCTGAGAATAACCTCTTTAGGTTCGCTATGCAGTTTATCATCTCATCGTCTGTTGTTATATTGTTCGGTTCATTTTTCCTAATTACTTGTACCAATGGCTGCAAGAACTCAGTAAAATTTGGAAAGAATCTACGGTAATAGCTACACAAACCTACTACACTTCTTGCTTCCTTCTTGGTTGTAGGTACGGTGATATTTTATTTTACTAATATTACGCTGTATCGGTTGATTAGTATTATTTCAAATCACATGTCCCAGGAATTCTACTTCATAACTGGCAATATTTGTTTTGCTGGGTTTCACTGTCAGTTTATTCACAGCAATTATTTTAAAAATTTTATCTAATGCTATTAAATGTTCTTGCCAGGTTGTGTGAAAAATACAGATGTCATCTAGATAGAATACTATATCTCTTCTGTGTGCAAACAATGATGACATCATTCGGTTAAATGTGGCTGGTGCATTGGCTAAACCAAAAGGCATATAATTCCACACGAAATTACCGAATGGGGTTGTAAACGATGTGTAGCACTTAGAATCTTCATCCATGGGTATTTGCCAGTATCCTCGTGAGAAATCTAGTGTTGAAAATATCTTTGCACCTCTTAATTTTCCAATCAAACACTCGATATTGGGCATCGGATACGGATCTTTAACAGTGATGTTGTTAAGCTTCCTATAATCTATACACATCCTCATATCTTCAATTTTTTTCTTAACCAACACGACTGGAGCGGCATAGGGGGAATCTAAAGTATCGATAATGCCTTGTTTGTTTAATTTATGAATCTCCATCCTTAGAAAGTTTTCATGGTGAAGTGGAACAAGATAAGGCTTTATACTCGTTGGCGTGTTATCACGGATCCGGATTTTATGCTTAATGATGTTTGTTCTACCCGGCACATCTGAGAAAATTACTTTGTATTTCTCAAGTAATTTTTTTCATCTCTTCTTGTTGAGAAGCTGACAAATGATTTAATTTGATGTTATGATACGTTTCCGTTCGCTTTATCTCCGTTGTAGGAACTTCTACACTATCTGCTGATTGGAGGAATAACATTTGGTTGACAACTTCATGAGATGATGGTAGAGCATCGGCTATCCTCGGTAAATATTTCTTCAGCATGTTAATTTGGAATACTTTACTCTGCCCTTTCATGTTTATGGCGTAGTCAACATCTGAAATGATCTTCATGACTTTAAACGGTCCTCTCCATTTGATAAACAATTGATTATTTATATCTGGTAGTAGCACCATTACCCCATCTCCCACCTTCAATCTTCTTAACTTTCTTCTTTGATTTATTCGATCCAATTTTATTGGTGTATTTATTGTTGAATCATTCACGACAAATTGACAAACTTTTACAACTCGTTCACGCGTTTTGACAACCAATTTGTAGGATGTCTGAACATCTGGTTTGATGTCTTGTTTTGACAACAAATCTCTGTATAACGATAATGGGAGGAACATTATAATTTTCCTCAACATTGTTCTCTGTTTCATTGTCGTTACTATCATTCATCTCTACTTCATCATGTACATGGTCAACATTTTTCTCTCCACTGTTCTCTGTTTCATTATTATTATTATTCATTTTAACTTCATCATGTACAGCCAACATAGTTTGTTCTGCGATGGGTTGTGGCTGCGTATAATTCTGATCTAGTTTTTCAAGAGCTTTTTCCTTCCTATTCTGTGATCTGGTAATTGCCATGGATTTATTGATGTCATGGTGATTTTGCCAATGTGTAATATCCGCTTCTGTACACTCTTTCACATCTGCAACATTCCCAATTATTAAATCGATGCCATCTAGGGGTTGCTCTAGTACTAACGCTTTGTGCCATCCTGTCAAATACGGACTATCAACATAGATTATTGCTATAGGATGTGTACTAATCTCATCTTTGAGGTTTTTAACTTTTTCGTATTCTCCAGTATATGACTGTGGCCTCACACAATTTTGATGTATCAATAAGGTGATTGTACCGGTATCTCTCAGCGCAATACATTTCTGTTGATCAACAAATGCTGAAATCAGTGTTAATTTACCATCGCCTTGTTGAATTTTTGCAAAAAAAACTTTGTTTGTTGGTTTATACTGCGTTGATGCTTTCTTGGAATCTCTGAAGTAACAATTGTCAGTGCGATGATTATTTTTCTTGCAAATCTTACAGTATGAACTTTTATTGGAATTTTGTTGCGTACTGTCCCATCTGCTCTTCCATGTTCTACCCTGGTTTTCATTCTCTGACTGGTAGTTTTTGTTGTTGCGAAGAATGCGGTTTGCACTGAAGTTGGCTTGGATAACATCTGATCTGGATGAGCTGTTTTATACTGACGAATCAGTGTTGTCCACGCATCTACGGTTCGCGGGCAACGTTCCTTCACAAATACCTGGACTTGTTCATTGTATGCATTAATCACAGTGTCAAGTATAATGAGGTTTCTTATTGCTTCATACGTTTTATTTACGTTAGCCATAGCTAACCATCTATCAAAGTACATTGTCATATTTGTTATAAACAGACGTGGATCATCCTTGTGGTCAGGAACACTATGCAGGAATTTTTTTTTATATTCATCCTCGGTTGCTCCAAACTGTCTCAGAAGAGCATCTTTCACAGCTGAATACTGATTTCTCTCTTGTTCATTCAGTTGGATACATATGTTGATGGCTCTATTCTTCAAATGACTCGACAGACTCTAGCCCACTCACGTTCTGGTAATTCAAAAGCACGAGCCAAATCCTCAATCTCGCAAGATATAAATCGATACTCTCAGTGTCCTCATTAAAAGGTAACATCTTTCTCAATTGATGGAATTTATCAAAACAATTACCGTTATCATTCTTTTGTTGCTGTATTCTGGCCATTTCAATGTCGTGCATTCGTTGTTTTTCCCTTTCCTGGCTTTCACGCTCTCTTTCCTCTCGCTGTCTCTCCCTTTCCTCATGTTTATCGATGAATTTAGAGGCCTCTTCACCAGTTAGTCCCAGCTCTTTAGCAGCGTTTATATACTGAGCGAGTGACGTCATTTGTAATATTCTTACTTTTTACTCACTGCTGTTGTATTTTAAGGCTCTAATTAATTAAAATTACGCCAAACAGTATTTTAATTAATTTTTATTTTAACAAACAAAATATTAACTAAATAGTTGATTAACGAATGAATATTAACGAAAACAGTACGGCAAAATTAAACATCAAAACTGTCATCACGCTTTTCAAGGTCACCACTAACTACCACTAAACTAAACTGGTTTATCTAATCGCCTCAGTGGCTCTAAACTACTATGCGCTATGCGCATAAGTTTGGGGATCGTCACAAAATGTCAAATCAAAACGTGACAGTTATCACTTAATGAACAATAATCAATGAACATCATCACCATTAACATTATCAGTCAAGTTCTTCAAATTTAATGGAACCTGATTCCCAAAAATTATCAACCCATAGTCAAGAAATTAACCCACTACGATATGTATTAAAAATAATAGCGCTTGTTAAGTGTCAATCCGGCTGATATTGAATACCGCCACTACTACTGACGACCAAATGATGTCGACCATTACAACAGGCGCCAGTGTGTGTGCCGTGTATAGTATACGCACACTTCTTTTAGTGGTTGAATGTGTTGTGTTGGTGTGTGCGAGTGCATTGGCGAATGCCTGAACGTGTGGATGGCTTTTGTGAATGTTGTTTAGTAATATTTTTGCCATTTAATATTTATGCAAAGATATTTACAAGTCATTTCTAAATTAACAAACATGAAGTTGCAGGACGAATAACTAAAACACTGGTTTATATACTGATTTATGTAATGTTTATGTACGCATCTCCATTACAATTCCGGAATTCTCCATACAACATATTTTAACTGCGTATATTACAAAAATTTATGTCACAAAATAAATTTTATCGGGTGAAAATGATTAAAAAAAATTTTCAATTAAAATAAGAAAAATTTAAGGAATTGAATTTACAAAATGAAAATTAATGTTGTTTGTTTCTGCAAAGCGAATGTTTCTTTCTTTGAGTGTGTTCCTGGATCTGGACCTCCTGTTTGCCAGCCACTTTCTTACTTGCTTGTGTCCAACTCAAAGATGAGTCCTCCCCACCATTCATTTCGGTGCGGATTTTTTTGAATGGCGTGTTGGGATGGGCTGACGGGAGTTCCTCGTTATCTTCCCAGGGTCGTTTCAACACAAATTTGTATTTCAAGGGAAATTCATCAACGGAATGTGGGATGTTGGAACAGAGATTATTCATTTTGAACATTTTGTTGTTCATCGAACTTCCCACAGATTCATTTGTTTTCCACGAGTGAGTTGAACTTCTGTGAACATCAACGGCGTACGATGATGTTGTGTAGTAGCCACTTTCTTCCTGTCCTCTTTTTACTGATGAAATATTTTCCGTTGATTCGTCTTTTTGTCTACTATTGTTCAATGAAATATTGTTTTGAGAAATATATTTTGTCACCTCATTGTCACCTGAACGTTCATCCATCTCGGATCCCAAAGGAGTATCGTTTCTTAAACTGTCCATTGAATTTGTTCACACAGTAATTGTTTTCTTATTAGTTCTTATTATTTCTTATTATTTAGAACTGAAATATTTTTCAACTTACGTATGCCCTTGTAAATATTTTTGTGGTTAGATTTGATTTGTATTTGCAGGATTAAAATTTTCTTTTGTGAATGTAATGGGACTTTTTAGTTATGCTCATTAGAATGTTTGGTGCTCTGTATTTATAGACAGGAACGTGGTGAAGCAATTAAGGTGAAACATCACTCAAAATGAGCGGATCCATTTTCAATTAACTGTCCCAATTAAAAGTGGTGTCAATTGAATAATTAAGTGGCACTCTATAAAGTAAATTTCTACTTAATTGGCTCAGCCCTACTATTACGTCATCGTCTTAAGTGTTCGTCACGGCATCATTGTTTCGTAATTTTGTTGTTATCACTATCACCCTGTCATTAATGACCGTGTTATCATCACCGTACCACAGTCGTCATCATCATCGCCATCATCACAACATTTGTTGTTTCATTCTTTTTCAATTTTCAAGTTGTTGAGTAGTGCTCAGTTTCTTTATTTTATTTTAGAATCACTTTTCTGTCTTTGAAGTAGTTCGGCTAAATTTACTTTAAAGGTTTTACTTTGAACCGCTAATTATATATCATTATGGCCAATGAAGATTTGACAAACTTTAATTAATTACACAAATCAATTATTCAAATACAGTTAAAATGTTCAACTCCAAAACATTTAGAACATGTTGACTTTTGATACAACTGAAATTCAAATTGAAGCGACACATTTTACACGAATTAAAAATGTGTCTATTATTTTAAATGAACCTTCATCAGCTCTGGTCTTCCACATCATTATAGATCAATTGATTCAAATTTTATTGCTTTTGTAATGTAACTGCTCCAAATTTTTGAAATTTATAACTATTACTGACCTTATATTACGTCTGCAAATATTCAATGAACATCTACAACTGTAAGGCATGGAGGTTTTCATCAAAGGCGCCCGTCATGAAACATCAGTCGTTGATGTTTCTGTTTTATCTTCATAGAATCAACCATTAACTCTAAACTGATAAAAAAGTTTTTCTCAATCAGCCAACCAACCAATCAATAAATCAACAAATTAGTTTATAAAGCGCCATTTCCGCGATGATCAACAGCGCTCCTCAATGAATTTTGCAAACAGATGGGTCTTGAGATTCGCCCTGAACTTCGTAAGTGATGGAGAAGTAGTCAGAGAAAAAGGTGGGGAGTTCCGGAGAAAAGAGCCAGAAAAAGCAAATGTAAATTTATCAACAGTGTTTAACACGAGTTAAGAAAAAGTGAGAACAAGAAGACACTCGTAAGCCGATGCGTTTAGGTTCAATTAATATATTTGGTAAGTACTTAGGAAATAATTTGGATTGAGACTTTAACATAAATGTGCATATTTAAAAAATTACTCTAAATTTTATAGGTGATCAATGCAAGAGAACAAGATATAGAAATCTATGAAAAAAAAGAGGCACAAGCAACTAGACGAGAAGCAGAGTTAGAAGGTTTACTTAAAAAATAGAGTGCAGAATCAGGAAAACTATAGTAAAGCAAGTTACAAAAATCAATCCTAGGTAATACTAATGAAGTAACAAAAAGAAGAAAAGTAGTTTCGTCAAGAAAAGCCAAAAGTTTTTTTGTTCTACGTAGCTGAAAGTAAGAACTTAGAAATTTATCTGAGAATAAAGAGACATGCTAGAATCAAAGACAAAACCTAGACTACGAAACTTACTTAAAACATTTAATGTTTTAGAATCAGATAAGATAATGAAAGGAATAGTAATAGAGCTTTTAGATTTATTGAAACAAATATAATTCCAATTTAGAAGGATTAAAACACATAGAATCAGATCAAGCGATAATTGAAAAAAGACATAGATGGAGATATCTTATAAAGTACACAATTGAGATTAGATGGACAAAAAAAAGTATAAGTACAAGAATCATCAGCATATAGTTCACTAGTGAAAGAAAATAATAGTAATTTTTATCAAAATCATTCTACGTGTTGACATAAAATTTAATATCTTAATATTTGAAATATGTATGAAAGTATGTGTGTGTGAATAAATTTATTGTTCAGCATTAGCATTTATTAAGTGATGATTTCGCTAATATCAAACTCTGTCACCTACGTTAAGCGTCAGGCGACTTTTTAGGTTTACCAGCTAAACCTATCAGTATGTGTTGTGTGCGTTTGTATGTGGTTGAATCTGTAGGGTTATGTCCGTGGTTTTTTAATAAATATTGAATTATGACTGTCAAAAATGCAATTATTGATGAAAATCACAGCCCGGACTGGATGCAACATCATGGGCGACTGAGACACGAACTTAAAATTAAGAAAGCGTCAACTAACGCTGAACATGCTTTGATTTTCATAATTGCATTTCTGACAGTTGATGTTGGTAATAGGCCATAATTTTTACAATATTCTATAAATTCTACCGAATGTTTGTCGTTAATATGCTTGTAGTTCGTTTTTTCAATTTTTCTCACTAAATGATGATTCATTCGGAATCGAAATATAGCTTTATTTGCAGCATGAATTCGGAAAATAAGTTTATTTTGAATTTTTATAAACTAAACGTTCACCAAAAAATTTTAGTGAGAAAAATTGAAAAAACGAACTACAAACATATTAAAGCAAAACATTTGGTAAAATTTTTAGAATATTGGAAATATATATATATATATATATTTATATATCGATATATATATATATATATATATATAGAATTAAGTAATTTTTTCATAATTTATGTTTATATTTAATAAGCTTTTGCTTCAATTATGAGATATAAACATAAATTATGGAAACATTTTCTCAACTCTGAAGCAGTTATTTTATTGGACGAATTTTAAAAGTTAAAAATTATATGAATTTAGTTAAGAATAATTGTATAATGAATTTGGCTAAAAATAATAAAACTATTCCAAAAGCTTACTGGCAATAAATTAATGAAAAAAGAATATTAAGGGGTAATATTGATATTTCACAATTCATAGATTAGGTAATAAAATAAATATAAGTAATGATAAGAAAAAAGCAAATTCATTTAGGGCTTATTTTAATAATGTGTACATAATGCTTGATGGGAATGATTGTGTGTCTGTTTTGGATGATAAATGTACTCTTGCCCTGTTGCGTGATCCTATAAATGTCAGTGATGTTTTATTACGGTTAAAGAAGCTAGATATAAATAAATCAGCTGAGCCGGATGAAATTTATTCTAGAATTCTGGTGGAATATAGTAGTGTAGTTGCTGATTATTTATGCAATTTGTTTAATTTGTCATTGAATTTGCATGTGATACCTAATGTTGGAAGCACAGTATTGTGGTACCAATTCTTAAAAATGGAGATGTATGTTGAGTGGAAAATTATAGACCTGTTTCTTTGTGTTGTGCCGTAAGTCTTCAATGTTTTAAAAATAAAAAGTCGATAATAAAAAAAACAACTTAAATATAAATATTATGACATTCTGATAATTACTTAAAGACAATTCAAGTTACACTTAACTGCTCATGCGTGAGCAGAAGAAATAAAGTTTAACTATGGCATACCCAGGTGACGAGAATTTCAAAAGACCGTGTCGAACACAGCCATGGAGCTCGTTATCACTTGATCCTGTTAGGTTGAAAGTTAAAATATCGTCAAGTTGTTTCAAATGAGAATGTTGACAAAGTATCTTAATAAAAATAACTAAACTTGTTATGGTGTAAACATAACATAACAGAACATGAGATGACAAACAGAACAGAACAGAAGACGACATGGAATGTCAGAACATGACCCGACACAACCTATCACGACGAAACGTAGCCCGCGATACCACAACGTAACAGAAAGGCTTTTTATATCAAAGTTTGTTGGCTGACCTTACGGCATGTGTCGATGAACTCGTCGAACGATATGACGCCATCTCGATCAACGTCCAGCTTCTCGGGGACACGATTTTTTCCAATTAATAATTCAATTTATCTACGACATGTAATTTGTTTGAAGTGGAAATTAAATAGTATTTAAATCCAAATTTTTTAGTTATGCATGAAAGTCTAAAATTATTTAATATAGAGAGCAACTCCAATGTAAATAAATTTTTATGCTAAAGAACTTTTACAAAAACCAAAATCTGACTTCAAATAAAGCATCGACGTGATTTTTTATGACAGTGTCGTCAATTTTTGAGCTGCAAAACTTGCCCATGATATCATAGACGGATGAGACGACCATCTGCATTTCCTCGCTAGTGATCACGCCGTCCCTGTTGACGTCGTACAGGCTGAAGACCCACTGCAGCTTCTCCAGCATGGTCCCACGCAACAAGAGGGAGAGCCCCATCACGAACTCCTGCCATTGTTTGTTTTATTTATTGATGTTGATGATGATGTGATGATGATGTGATGATGTTGATGATGGTGATGTTGATGGTGTGATGATGTGATGATGGTGTGATGATGTTGATGATGGTGATGATGATGATGCTGGTGATGATGATGTTGTTTCATGTAGTTTAACGATCGGAATGTAGTGATACATTTACAATTTATATAGATGATCTGTGTAGAGTTTTTAATTTTGATATATTTACTATTCAGAAATCGTCTATTTATAAAATTAAATAAATGTGACAAAAATTTAATTGAACAATTCTTCATTAATTAGCTGCCCCAGCTATTCCAAAAACATTAAACAGATATCAGTGAAATGCCCGTCAATCAAAAATACCAATTAAAATTTTGTCTTTTATTTTTGTTTGATTTGTTCAACTACAACAGAGCACTGACATTTAAACAAACAGCAGACTTGCTGACTGAGACAGACAGACAAACAAACAGAAAGACAAACAAACAGAAAGACAAACAAACCTAACAGACAGGCAGAAAACAAACAAACAAAGAAGCAAACATGTACCTCAAAACTTATGGTTTCACTGTGGTCCTGGTCGAATGTGTTGAATACGAAATGAGTGTACGCAGAGCAGTCTGAAACGATTGCATCCCACGTTCATTAATTCAGTTCTTCATGTTCATTTTGTATTTTCATGAAAAAAGCAAACATTGAAAAGTGTTTGTTAAAAATTTTTTATAAACAACGTACAAGAACTATTATTTTCAATTTAATTTTTGTATAAAAATTTGCGGCTTGTTAAATTAGCATAAAAAAGTACATTTAACCATTTGAAGTAGCATTCCAACTTTGATTTTTTCTTCCTTCCCACACAGGCTTATACCTCGTGTTTTCTTAACAAGTACCTCCCCACCACCACCAGTGGCAGCCGACATGTTTGCTTCCGACTTTCAAGTTTCGTTCTTAGTCGTACTTACATTTTTAAAAATAAATAAAGACGAATATCAACATTTGCGATGAAATTAGGAAAGGTGATACTATTTCTTGCGCCGGCACAAAACGATCCGCCTCAAATACTCCAGTGCAAAAAAAATTTAATCTCATTTAAATCGTGAAATAAATTTGACAATAGAAGGCATGTTACTGTCAACTGAACCCAACGTGAATAGAATATTCAACATCATCATCGTCGTCGTCATCATCATCAAACCACTATTACATGATCAGTTTACATTTCGCTCTACCGTTTCATCTACATCCGCCATTATCTCTCTTACTTCTACAAAAACATCTTTCCTTAAAAATAATAATTACTCATCATCTCACGCATCAAATATGCAGCTCCCTCCTGGTCTGGTTTTGCTACACAACACCAACTTTAGCAACTACAATCTCTCATCAAAAAACTAATTCGCTTCAACTACCTATCTTTACCATATCCTACCGTCACACAGATATTCAACACACTTGATTCAAGGCTGTTCAAGAAGGTAGAAAATAACAACAACCACGTCATCCATCCTCTACTACCACCAATCAAAACTACAACACACAACCTTCGTCAGCGCAAGCATAACTATCAAGTCGTCGCCCAATCTACAAACCAGGAAAATGACTTCATCACAAGACACCTCAAACATATTAACGCTTAAGGAAACTTTATCATTACTGAACTAGTTTTTATTTATCGATCACCCAAAGGTGGACATGGGTTGGGTTAACCCATGGGTTGGGTTGGGTTAACCCATGGGTTGGGTTGGGTTGGGTTGGGTTGGGTTGGGTCCAAATTTTTTAAAGTTGTGTGGGTTGGGTTGAAATTTTCAAATTTTATTATAAATAATTTATTTCTGTATTTTTTTTTATTCTTAAACGAACATTTTAACTAGTTAATAATCGGTGTATTTTATATCGCTGTAATATCATTGTATCTATGGTCTATCGTTTCCACTTTCTTTTTGTGATTATTGAGTTGAGCAAAAGTTAACTTCTTTCCGATCGAGAAAATTAGTTTTATTTACATGTATGGCAGAATCAGAAGAAATTCAGCGTCATTTGAGAGGTTTGTGTGATTTAAATTTGCTAAGTTTGCGAAAGTAAAAAATCTAATAAATTTCACATTAACATTTTTACATTTTTTATGTTTTAATTCCTTTTTTAAAGATTTAATTGTTATTTTTCATAATTTCAAATCTCTTCAGTCTTTACAGTTACACTTTACAGACATCAGAATTTTTTCTCAATTGCTCATTTTACTTATTTACCTGATATTCATGTTTCATTTTCTTTCTTTTTTCTACCTAGAAATGGTTTATTTTTCAAATTTTAGTTGGGCGCTGTTGAAGTTTAGAAATCCCATTCATTAGATAAATTTAATTGATTGATTGAACATACTTAAGTATTTAAATATTTATTCTTCCAGAAAAAACAGGGTGGTATATATTAAACGCACCCACAAATTAAAATCAGAAATCTGGCAGAAATTTCACATGTTTTCAAAAAAAGAAAAT